GTTTTCATGTTCAGTTGCTAGAGGAAACAATGTAGGTCAGTTTTCATGTCCAGTTGCTAGAGGAAACAATGTAGGTCAGTTTTCATGTCCAGTTGCTAGAGGAAACAATGTACGTCAGGTCCCATGTCCAGTTACTAAAGAAAATGATGTAGATCAGGTTTCATAAATTGTTGTTGTGAAAACTTATGTATGTCAGGTTTTTCGTTTGAATTACTATATGAAACTTTACTGGCGGGTTTGATGTATCCAATCATTACATAAAACAACTGCAGTTCCATTAATTAAGATTCCAGAACCTACATCATATTAAAATAAGTAAATATGTATATATATATATATATATAGGTTGAGCGTCACTACTTCGTTGTAGTCTATGTTGCCACGTCCGGTCATGCTCTATCTGAAAACCGTGCATCCTGACAATAGCTATGTTGCGTTGAGTCGTAATTCAGCCGTTGTAAGTAAAGGCAGCGTCTTATAACAGATGAAACTTCACGAACGCAAAAGGCAGTGGTAAAAGTCGTTCACGTGCCCCAAGCTACACTAAACCTTATGGCTGTCGTGTCCAAAGTATGCCACTCCTCTATGCTGGTTTGTTCATAATCCATTTGGTATACGAGGACGATAATTTCTCAGCACTCATTTCGAAAGTCGGATCACACAGAATAAGATACCAATTGATTAATTGGCGTAGTGTTGCCCGGGGCATGTGAACGACATTTTCCATTAAACTTTGTGTTCGTGAATTTTCATCTGTCACAATACACCACACTTCACTTACCACAGATGAGGTTAGACATTTTGCAGGCCTCTTACTGGTTGATCCTGGGCCCCCACATTGATCCATGTTATTTTATTTTCCAAAGGCATTAAGTACAAGATATACCCTCGTCTTGGAAACTCGACATCCCTAATCTGAACCCATCTTTATGATATGAGTGTATGAATATTTTGTGTTGATATAATCGATCGGTTTTTGATGTCATCATACCACCTACGTAATGTCAAATAATGTTAGCATAAAGGTAAGATATATACCGTTCCATCGCTTATTTATATCGGCTGTGTTTGTCACATGACTTGCTGAATTGTATATTCAAAATAGTTTTAATATAACACACCCAATCCTCTGTAGTGACACATACTTGACATTTATGAATAGATTATTATCAAATCCTTGAAATTAAATGCGCAGTACCTCAACTTGTAAGTGCTAAATACGTTGGAAAAAGTGTGCACAATAGAAACATGTTTCTATACCTTTTCACGAATGTCAAGGGATTTGTGAACAAAGGAAGTGATAACTGAAATTGATAACCAGTTGTATGAAAAATTGAAAGTAGATTTAAGCTAAAGTGTGGAATGGAGTGGTCTTTATCGGAATCTTTACGTCGTCCATTTGCCAATTAGGGAAGGCAAGAAGGGAGCCCCGTGGAAATAAATAGAAGAAATACAGAAGAAAACGTTTCCTGACATACTAAATTTGTGACATGAATGGGGCTTTTGCTATAAGATGCCAGAAAATATATATAAATGTTTTGCGCATAGTAAATAATGTAGATAAAGTACTTACCTGTCACCGTATGGAGTGTAAGCGGCTAATGCAGAATCGTAAGTGTAGCAAGCTGATCCTCGGGTGAGAGTACCCCATGGTGGACGTCTGTCCTTTAGGTCTTCCGCTGTAGTCTAGAACGGAAAATTAAGAAGAAAAATTAATTTAGTAGAATATACTGATGTGTTAGAATATATATATATATATATCTTCGATTTCTTTTCAAAACCAGTATAAACAACGCGTTAAATTTTCCAGGGACAATGATATGATAAATCATAGAATTACACATTGGAATACAGATCCTTTCGGCTTTTTGCACGCATTTCTATAGGTCCATACCTCCCTCCCCCTGTTAGCTACACGGTTCCTAATAACACGAGTTACCCAAAAAATATATGAGCAAGAAAATTCATTAATATTACAATTACCTCCACAAATTTTTATGGGGGCCCTATGTGTTTTACAAAGGAAATTATTGATTTTACCAATTATTTATGGTTATGAAATTACTCAATATGATGCAATATCTGAACCGGATATCGGTAGTAAACGGTGCAAATCGATTTCTTGAGGGTTAATGAAACATAAAGCAAGTAACAAAATTGTGCTTCGAGCACTAACGTGTCCTTACAGATTTTATTCTACGCACAATTAAACCGTTAAGTATTTCTCTGGATCTATGTCAGCCTCTCATTCTTGCGTTTTAACAAATTTAACGCTAAACGGTAAATTGGGGTAGTAAATAATTAACTCAAGACCCTTCACAATAGTCTGTGGACTTACAACGCTAGAAACTGGGTTTCGATACCCGTGGTTGGCAGAGCACAGATAGCCCATTGTGTAGCTTTGTGCTTAATTCCAACCAAACAAACAAAACCCTCACAATATATATTTTGAAATTTCAAATAAACCTGTTAATAAAAAGACAAAATATTTGACAGTGACTTAGCCGTGAGGATAAGTATCATACCTTGTACATTATTTCATGTAATGCATTTTAAAAACTCTTTATTAAGTAGCACGATTTTATTGGATAACCAATCTGAAATCAAGTTTAAAAGTGTTATATTTTATTTTTTGAAGTTGATATGTTTGAGTAATACATCCAAGGTTTTATATATTTATATTTTTACACCAACGTGACTTGCGTTTAAAAACTTCATTTCCGGCCTGACAGTATACACGGTCATAATCTTTTATTGGTGTCAATTTTACCTCAACACGACGGCCATTTTCGATTTGTTGTATCGCACGTATGAACGAGCAAAAGACGAGTTTCGTTGGGTTGAAAACTTAAGTATTAAAACTCGGTAAGAAAAACTAAAACAATGACATTTATTTAGATTTGTTATTTATGTAATGGTGAATAAGACAAACTGTAGTTTTTTTTTGGGGGGGGGTGATAAAATAGCCTTACTAGGAAATAGATGTGAGTTAAAAAACTAACAACAATAACGTATAATAACAATAATTCTTTGAAATATTGATTTGCTTAGTGAAATCATTTCTCTTATTAATGAATAGCTCAGTGATTTTTAACAGATTATGAATGTACGAATTTTATTAAAACCTCTCCGAAGTAATTGTTTGACTTCGAACTCTTAGCTATACTTGATAAAATGTTTTCTTTTGGACGAGAATAATCGCTTGGTTATAACTATCTTCTAAAAGTCCTCATAAAACAAAGAGTTTATATGGTATATTTCTTTATTTTTTGTGCTTTAAAGTTCTATTTTAAGCTCATTGATATTCTCCCTTACATTGATCCTCCGGTGGGACAGCAGTAAGCTTACGGACTTACAACGCTAAATTCGGGGTTAGATTCCCCGAGGTGGACACAACAGATAGCCTAATGTGGCTTTGTTCTAAAAAAATAAACAAACCCTTACATTATCACCATCAATGTTCGAATCAAAGTCGTTACTGTATCGTCCACAATCCTGCATTTGTTAATATCTTTTTTCAATGAATTTTCAACATTAGTTTGAAAACTGTCTTTATACTTTCCACCAACAAGTATATTTTTCTATGCTTTTTAAACCATGTGAATTTACGACAAACTTTAAGACTTTTGAACGTGAAAATCTGAAGGTTGGCAAGCCTCCAGATTAAAATGCATATTAACGGAAAGTATGAAAATCAAAATGCTTGTTAACTAAAAGTATAGTTATTCCTTTTTTTTTAACTTTCCATTCCATGTTTTCATTTCTTCAGAGAATCCCTGACAGGTTTTCATAATGATCCCTGTTCTTGCTCTCGTACATGTCCTGCAAATTGAAGCACATTAATTCTGTCAGTTTTAACTGTTCCGTAAATTTAGTACTCTCATTGTTTTGCTGAAATAAAAGTGTTTTGATATTTGGTAGAAAAATACGTCTTTAGGAATTTTGGGAGACTTTTAACCATTCAAATATACTGTCAGTACCACTTAATTCATACGTTATTCGAGTCAAGCCGTTTTTTAATTCAACCAACTGAAGGTACTGTTAAAACTAAATCTATCTATATATGTTTGTTAAATCTTATAGCTGGTTTTACTTCAATATCAGTCTCAAATTATTCTCTCTTTTGTTGCACGCCATGTATCCATATTCTGCAGGATATAATAGTTTCCTTATCTTATACTGTTGTGTAGTTAGTGTTAACATAAATAGATGTGTGCATATAACATATTTCCAATCCAGGCTTAGGATAACCCTTCTTTGCCTAACTAAGATGGGGTTAAAAGCTCTCTACAATTTAATTTTCTTATCACGCATTGTCTACTTCGGGCCTGTATCGGCCTGGCATAGCCGAAAGGTTAGCGTGCTTGGACTGTTAATTCGAAGATCCATGGATCGCATTCCATTCCGAAACTCGCTCCGCACTTTCGGGCCGTGTTTTCGCTACAGGAGTGATGGTGAAACTCCACTATTTGAGCAGACAAACGTAGCCCAAAGGCTAATTGCACTAGCCGTTCCTAATTTTGAACTGATAGATAAAAGGGGAAGGCAGCTAGTAAACACAACACACCTCAACTCTTGTATTACTGTAATCAAATAGTGGAATTTGACAGTCACTCTTATAATGCGCTTCATGGCCCCAAAATGCAAAATGAAACTTTGCGTCAATGGGACACAAACCATAAACCCTTGAATTAACAGTTGTGTTAACCACTGGGCTACGCCCGGCTCCTTAGGTCTATAGCAATTTTTTATTGATTTTAAATTTTTGTAATGTTTCAAAAATAAATATTAATAAATTATATCAGTAAACCGAAAGGAAAAAGATAGGACCATTCTAAATTAAATAGTGAATTAACATTAGTTTCAAATATCAAGATACCAGTTAAAATAAGCATTAATCAAAAACAGGATATACATACCGTAAAGAAGCAGTGAATAAGACACACTTCTCTATGTGAAACTTCCCACGAGAAATGATAATGTAAATATTCCAAGATGTATGAGATGTAATCAACGTTTAATAGGTCTGTTGACAACCATAATTAAAGTTCTACAAATAAAGTCACAGTGATTAGAGACATGAGTATTTTATTGGTCAGTTAGTTAAGATTTATTAGATGTCCTCTGAAAGCACATTAACGGTACTAATACGTGTTGAAGTGTGATGTGTGGGTTATTTTATGATCTTCCTGATGTGAAGCAGGCTAAATTGTGGTTTGCAATAAATTACTATTCAAATCAAGAAAGGAAACTGAGAAATTCAGGTTAGACTAATTAGTAAAATTACTATGTATAATGTGACTGAGAAGGGAAGAAATGAGCCTGCGAATAACCTATAACAGATAGAAAGCATATGGTGACTGGTATTTAATGAAGATAAATAATTCTAAATACGCTACTGACCGACAAAAGTTTGATTTACAATAACAAACATGTGATAATAATAATGAATAAAGTATACTAGTATAACATATTATCAGTTGATGCCACTATTTGGTAGAGGGGCAAATGTTGAGTAGTGTACACTATAGGCTAACATATTATCGCTTTCAGTGACACATCTGTAGTGGGGCAGAAGTGGAGTAGTGTATATTATGACTTACAGTGACACATCTTTAGTGAAGTACAGATTAAGAGTTACAGCTAAATCTCTCTACCGAGAGAAACGTTGTGAAGTAAACTACATATTAACAGATTAAGAATTACAGTTAAATCTCTCTACCGAGAGAAACGTTGTGAAGTAAACTACGGATTAACATATATTAAGAGTTACAGTTAAATCTTTCTACCGAGAGAAACTTTGTGAAGTAAACTACGGATTCACAGATTAAGAATTACAGTTAAATCTTTCTTCCGAGAGAAACTTTGTGAAGTAAACTACGGATTAACATATATTAAAAGTTACAGTTAAATCTTTCTACCGAGAGAAACTTTGTGAAGTAAACTACGGATTAACATATATTAAGAGTTACAGTTAAATCTCTCAACCGAGAGAAACTTTGTAAAGTAAACTACGGATTAACATATACTAAGAGTTACAGTTAAATCCCTCTACCGGGAGAAAAGTTTTAAAGTATGTCAAACAATAACAGATTAAGAGATAAAGGTTTACTGATACAGTTATGCAATAAGAGAGGTACACTTCAGTGTTGCTTTACAATAACAGCAGTTTATAATATGTCAGCTATAGTGACAAACACAAGTATTTAAAGATGTAAATGCTCTTTTTTTTTCAGCTGGTTCCTGTCAGTTGCTATCGGAGAGTGCACTAGTACTCTATGTCGGATTGGTACGGACGCTCGTATTAATGCAATACAAAAGTAATCTGGATTTTCTTCTACACAGGTCACCAGAAGCTAGATATGAACAGTTATCTGGCATAGTCGCTCTAACTCCGGTGTATATGCCGCTTTTAAGCTACCCAGAGCTTCTAAAAGTCGAAATCCGGCGAATAGCCAAAATCGAGATTTCATATTTTCGTTCATCATCATCTTTCTTCAACAGGCTTAGCACTTAGCTAATTCTAGCAGTAACTATAATTTTATCATCATTTGATAGAGAAAAACAGTCTTCAAGATCTATGACTACCTATTTTGTTATCATTCTGGGCAAAATTTAAAAAAAATCATAATTATAGCGTAAACGATGTTATTACCCCTTGAAGTTAGCTTTCTTACAGAAATTTGATGTTCCTTTAAAAGCTTACGTACGGGGTGAAACAGGAACTACAAGCCAATAATAGATGAACATTGGATGATTGTAACATGTAGAATACTCAATGCTTTGTACAATATACAATAGGTGTCCTTAGGGAACCAAACCCTATATTATATATGAAGTGAAGAAGTAAACAAAAAATAATTACGCATACAGGTTATCAGAAGCTAGATAAGAAGAGCTACCTGGCATAGTCGCGCTATCACCAGTGTATATGCCACTTTAAAGCTATCCAGAACGTTACAAACTCGAAAACCGTCGAATTGCTACAACCAAGATTTCTCATTTTCATTCATCATCATTTTCTTCAACAGGCCTAACGCCTACCTCGTTCAAGTAGTAATTATAATTTTATCATTATATGATAGAGCAAATCAGTCTTCGCGATCTTTGACTACCTATTTTATTATTATTCTATACAACATTTATACAGCTTCTGAATACACTCATAACCTAGTAATCCATGTACGACATCATATAGAAAGTAAACAAACAAGTATTATGAAAAAAAATTTATCGCCAAATAAAAAATTATCTGGGGCTGGCTACTGAACTTGAAAAAAAAGGAGCCAAATAAGATAGGCATGGAAGTGGACATATCATTGATCCAGCTAATGATCACATAGCAGACTAATCCTTCTTTACATGGAGAAAAAAATCCCTACATTACTGGCTTCTTCACTGGCTAAAAAGTAGAACCACAATTTGCAGTCGTAAAATGTTGCTCTATTGTGAAAGAGTCATAAAAGTAGTATTCTAAAGTTAAAAGCTGACATTATATTCAAACAGCAAGTTTTCGATAGACAAAGTGGGGAAGCCAGTAATGAAGGGATTTTATTCTCCATATAAAGTCGCGACAGCTTAGTTTGATAAGTGATCATTAGCCGGATCAAGTGATATGTCCTATTTAGTAGGCAGCCCTACACAGCTTTTTTTATTTAGCGATAATTTTTTCATAATACTTGTTTTACATTGTTAACGAAATATGTTGAGAGATGTATATCGCCGTAATGCATGTTTTTGATTAGTTTCCCTTTTTTTTTACACAATGACGACTAATAGTTCCAAAAGATAAACGGGAAAAGTCGAGGGTTTCTTTTTTTAACAAGTTAAGAATTTGTATGACATTCCAAAACTAGGAAATATTTACCTCTTGGCCTTAAACGAACTGGTTAAGCAAGATAACTAAATGAAGTCAAAGATCACAAAAAACAATTATATTATTATTTTTTAAGGAAAGTTTAGTTCGTACCAGAGAGGTGTAGAACGTCGGAGCGTTAGGTCCAAGAGCAGTAATACAGCCCGCGGGTTCCGGATAGGTTGTACCAAAGAGTCCACTCATCGCAAAACTGCCGGCCAAGCGTGGATAAGGAGGCAATAGTCGGGAGTCACACGGGGTAGTGAGAGGATAGACAGGCGCGGTGGCTGCGGCAGTAGCACTGTGGTGATTGGCCGTAGCTGATACTGATTGTACTGAGTCACAGCAAGCTCCTGGTGTGGGTTGAGTAGACATTAGGAACTAAGGATGGGTAAGAGACAAGAGTATCTGATTAGTACTGGAATAGCTTTCGTCTGGGTTGAGTAGACATTAGGAACTAAGGATGGGTAAGAGACAAGAGTATCTGATTAGTACTGGAATAGCTTTCGTCTTGGGATTTTGATCAATAACTGAAGTAATGTTAATATCAATAGTACAGGCCTATTTAAATAGTAGTACTTGTATTGATTGTATAAAATAACTTATATTAAAATTAAAACCTACATTTCTATATTTTACATTTCAACAGCTAATCTGATGATAATAAGAACAGCACGTGAAAGAGAGTCAAGTAAAAACCTGGTGACAAGCAACAGAATTACCTGTATAGTAAATACACAATCTAACAGGTGAAATATATGAAGAAATTGATCACACACATAGCGTTTTAGGTCAAATTAAATATCAATTAGCAAGTCTAACATGCGCAATTAATTTTAAGTTAAGATTAAAATTAGGAGTATTTGCTGTGCTCCAACCCACAGCTATGCATACCCCCATGAAAGCATAAAATTAGCTTATTTCTAATTTATCTGATTGGGTACTAAGGATTCCAATTATCCTGAGCTGATCACCCCAGTAAATGGTTAATATTACAGTAAATAATGCTTGCGCACTACTTTATTAAATATCTTTATTGACTGGTTAATGGGATGACATCATCTCATTTTGGATAAGTTAGTGGATAAAAATAATAAGAACTGAGATCTGAAGAAAATAATTTAGCTTAAGAGATGAATAAGTCTAGTGTCTCTGAACACGGAGTCCTGTATACGTTTCATTAGAACGTTAACTGATACGGATTCTCTTATAGTGGATGTTACAACAAAGTTTGTGTCTAAGTTTCTTGCATTTTGTTAAGCTTTAATACACAGAGTGTTAATGACATTTTTAGAGCTTTTTCTAAGAATTTATTTTTTTCAACTGCACGATTATATTTTAATTTAATCATTTTTTAATACATGACACCTTATTGCACCTCATATATACAGGCCTAGTAACAAATGATCCAAAAAATGAAGAATATTCTAGTAAATACATATATTTATCAACTCTGGCATTGAATTTTATAATGTTAATTTTTTATTTATTTATCCACTTGAACTTACTTATATATAGGTGAATTTTTCAACTGCATAAATATTTTTACAGTTGCACAATTTGTGATCAACTGCATACTAGAAAAACTCCTGGGAATTTTTTAAAAAATCGTTGCAGTGCTTTTAAATGGCAAGTAAGACCGGTGCTTTCGGATTCCAGTTCTAATGACACAAGAAGATGAGAACAGTGACCCATGACTCCTGGATGGGATGTCAATGTCAATCCATCACAGGTTAGCTCCCAACTAGTAGCTAGGGACCCAGCATACCGTTGGGTAGACTAAAACAAATGGGGTAAAGTGTCTTGTTCTAGGAAATAATAACATGACAGGGGGGCAGCCTTGAACTCGCAATCCTCGGGCTACGAGCCCAAAGCCACCACGTTAATGAAATTAATCCACTTATAAGCAGTGGAAAGATGGATGATTTCATCGTAATGAAACGAAGTTGATAGAAGAGTATAATTGACATATGTACTTGTGTCTCAGAGGTTATAGTTATTTAGTATCTTACGGAACTGTAGAGCATCATAGAATAGGCCTACTATTTACTGTATGCTCGACACTATAGCTGTTTAAGTTACTATTTATTTGATTTCTTCTTGTTGTTGTTTGTCATTAAGCACCAAACTACACAAAGAGCTATCTTGCCCTGCTCACCACTCGGTTTCTAGCGGTATCAGTCTGCAGACATACCGCTGTACCACTAGGGCGACACTAAAGCAACATGGCGAACAAATGTGAGCCTAATTTAGTATAAAATTGCACAATCTAAGTAAATCGAACCAACTTGACTATTTAATTATCAAAACACCTCAAGATGAATTTAGAATAGTTGCAAGAAATTAAGAAGAATATCAGCTAGACGTTAATAAAAATAATATAATAACCTATATTTGTCGTTTTATTGAGTTACTCGAATTTATTATCAACTTCCTAATTGTGAATGATAATATTCCCACAGTATCAAAGTTTAGAAAGCCAAAAATATATAATAGATCTTTAGACTAATAATCTAAATTATATAACACCTACAGCGATAAAATGCAAATATAAGTAATGTATAATAGATCTTTAGATTTATAATCTAAATTAGATAACACATAAAGCGATAAAATGCAAATATAAGTAATGCAGTGATATTAGATAAGAACATTATCCCTTTGTACATTGTATATACACACAGGCACACGGTATTTAGAAATATTCGATTTTAGAGCTTAAGATTTATGAGCTTTTGAGTCCTTTTAGTTCATTAAATAGTAGTTTAAATTAACTTAGGTGCGTGATCCATGAAATGTTAATGTTCCAATTTCCGGTTACAACAGGAAACATGGAACTGGTTTTCAGATATTATTTTTGTATTTGTACGCTATATTCAATTTGTCTAGCTTAAAATGCACTTTTGATAGATGATAAATTCATTTAAAATCATTCGGGTGTTTGTTTTTCGTTTAGCTGCATTCATTTTAAAAGTAAATTAATGGGAATCTTTGTAGAAGAATTATTGCTACGTTTTATTGAATAATACGAAATGGCTGACTGTTACTGTTAGGCAATCGCCGCAGTACCAACAATTCATATGTAAGTTCAACAGCTTACTGTTTGACGATTCCAATACGTTCAATTCATATATAAGTTCAACAGCTTATTGTTAGAAGGTTACAATACTTAGAATTCATATATCAGTTCAACAGTTTATTGTTAGAAGGTTACAATACTTACAAATCATATATCAGTTCAACAATTTATTGTTAGAAGATCACAATACTTACAATTCACGTGTAAATTCATCAGCTTATTGTTAGAAGGTTACAATACTTACAATTCATATATCAGTTCAACAATTTATTGCTAGAAGATCACAATACTTACAATTCACGTGTAAATTCATCAGCTTATTGTTAGAAGATCACAATACTTACAATTCACGTGTAAATTCATCAGCTTATTGTTAGAAGGTTACAATACTTACATTTCATATATCAGTTCAACAGTTTATTGTTAGAAGATCACAATACTTACAATTCACATGTAAATTCATCAGCTTATTGTTTGAAGGTTACAATACTTACAATTCACATGTAAATTTATCAGTTTATTGTTAGAAGGTTACAATACTTACAATTCACATGTAAATTCATCAGCTTATTGTTAGAAGGTTACAATACTTACAATTCATATATCAGTTCAACAGTTTATTGTTAGAAGATCACAATACTTACAATTCACGTGTAAATTCATCAGCTTATTGTTAGAAGGTTACAATACTTACAATTCATATATCAGTTCAACAGGTTATTGTTAGAAGATCACAATACTTACAAATCTTATGTAAGTTATGCAGTTTTTGGGTCACGCTAAATATTCCATGGAATTTAAGATATAAAACTAAAAAAAAATATATTGCGTTCACTTATCTTAAAAACGTGATATCCCCTTCTCCATTCTGTCCGAACGTTTGTGCATACACAAACGTTTTGTGTGTGTGTGTGTGTTTTATATTTTGTGACAGTACTCGTCTTTTGTGAATCCCTTATCTCTGCGATTATCATGTGAAACATGTCTATGTCCGTGTGTGTTTGTAATGTAAGCATTCCAAATATACGTATTAGACAAGTTTTAGTACAGATGAAGAGAAACTAAGCTAGCTGCCATTCTGCCATGTTTTCCATCTAATTTACGAGGAAGACGGTTTCTCACTGCCTGTTTTTTGACAGTTTGACTACACAGAAATTCATAGTCAGTGCGTCTGGCGAGTTGGCCAGTATTTTTTTTTTGTATAGTATAGTATAAATACCTCTTTCATTCGCCAGCTCCTTGGGTTATGCGACGGTTGAACGGACGTTCCATAAGGACAACTTGTGTCACTTTTCTTAACCGAGAACCTTCTTGGTTATGTTGCGTCCTGTTCTTGGCACGTGGACGGTTTTGCCACTGATCTTTGTCCTAAGACAAGCACTTTGCTTGGTTACGACTTGTTGTAGGTTTCTTTATGGACGTTTCTGGGTCCCCAAGTTGATCCACATTCCTTTGCTTTCCAATGCCATTAAGTACAAGGGATACACCCATCTTGAAAATTATCATCCCCTATCTGAACACATGTTTATAATCCGAATGTACGAATTTTTGCGTTGGAAAGAGCTATTACATATCCTTCTAAAAATATCATTTTTTGTTGACGTCACAATCACTAAGTAACGCCAATCAATGCCATAATGTAGTTCTGATGCATTCTGTTCCACCGCAAATTTTTTTATCGGCTATGGTTAGCATGTGACTTGATGATTTTTATATTCCAGTTAGTTTTATAACTTTACATCGATAGCTCAGGAAATAATACACCTTAATTGCACAAGAAAGGGTATGTTTATTCTCATAAAGATTGAAGCGTAAACCATTATACACAAATGAAAGCCAGGAATGTTTATGATGAAATAAATATCTCTGTATTTTTATAGTGCATTTCGCAGGTTAAAATTTCAATGCTGGGATAACAAATGATATTCAGAATAAATATTTTCTCCGTTAATTAATACTTGTTTATTTTCATTTACATTTGATATACATGTGTGAACAGTGCAAAAAAAACAACAAAAAAAAAACAACAACTAAAAATATAGCTGGCCCGGACTTTTTGGAGAATCTCAAGACCTAGCTGATTCGTAGCTATTACACGAATTGCTTGTGTTAGTTAACCCCATATATCCACTCAATTTGCCAACCAATGTACTCAGTGAACAATTTTTACTGCGATTTCACGAATTATCTTTTTTATTATCTTTCTTTTCTGGCGATAAAGACATGTCTTTAATTATGATTTATTCAATTAAAAATAAAATTTAAAAGGATTTTAAATGTTTCCAGCAAGCTACAAATTTAA